ACTCACAGAAAATTACCTGCAGAATTATGATCCCTTTAAACTTAAGTCTCCTCCACATATAAAAGTAACATCTGTGCCAATTACTCCAAGGGCCCTTTCATACTTCTGGGTGGGTATCCTTTGGGTGGCTCTAACTGCTATACAACACGAGGGCAGCGTACCACACGGAAGACCGCCCTTCCCAGGTGGGAAACGCGTGGTGGCTGTCGCAGCATCCTGGCTGGGCAGCTGTGCATTTCACCAGGGATTCAACCCAGGCTGCCCTTCCACAGCCAGGTGCGTGCGTGTGGCCTTCTGCTCCTTCTCTGCATTTAGTGTCTCGGGGCGGGGGGAGGAACACGGAAACCCTCAGCTCAGAACTGAGCTTCAATGGAGTTAACGACCCATTCCCATCTCCGTCAGATCCGCGGGAGATCAGGGGAGTCACACCAGATTTACACCCCCATAACTGAAACCAACATTTAGAGCGCCGCTATAAAAGAAACGTGATAGTCCCGTTTTCTTCTAGCACCAGCGTGGCTTTTGGTGGGTCCACTGCATGCTTCTCATGCAGTAATGATGCACTTTACTTATGATGGGGGGAACGGTTTAGATATATACCTTCTTTTTTTTTTAAAGAATTTCGTAAAAAATAGAACTTTTCTCTCTAATACTGTACAGTTTTCTTCAGAAGAGCAAAGAGAATTGTAAACTGTGGGTGTGACACCAGATTAGGAGTGCTATTTGCCTTCTCAGCACAACAATTTGAACAATTGTGTTGGGAAAAGCTCTGCGAAATGTATTTGAAAAACAAATTTTTAATTAAAATAACTGTTTCTAAAACCACCACTGGCAGTACTCATATGACTGAAAACTTGGTTGGTTTTGGCACTGCTAATCCAAGAGCCTCTGCAGGACTGCAAATTAGTTTCTCTCTTGCTTAAACAAACTGAATGCATCAAAAGAGTAACTTCAGAGTATAAACATGAAACACTTTGGTTAACTATTAAATGTATTCCAATAACTTCAAGAAAGCAACTGGTTAATAAATTACTCTGCAGACTCCTAGCCTTTGTTTTTTCCAATGTGCCTGGACATAAAGTAGGGTCAGTGAACTCTGCCTACCTCACAGGCTCGTGAGGCTTAGCTGGTACCACGTTAAGTGCTTTGAGGCCCTCAGGCGAAAAGGCATGATTTAAGTGCAAAGTATTATCTGTGTTTATGATGGCCTCTGAATACTGGTTTGCTTGTTCTCTTTTCTAAAAACGACTACTGCTGGCAAGCACTTAGGCCATGGTTTTCATTAAAATATTTGTTTTCCAATACATTTTACTTTTTAAAGTTGAGTGAACATTGTTTTGCGTGCAACGGACATTTTACAGTGGCGCAAGAAGTCAAATGGCTAATGATTTCTTATAATTTTTAACTGAAATACTTAAAATGGCAAAATTAGCTCAACTGATGATTGTATTTTAATTTGCATTAGGATAACGGTATTAGGTTTGCTGAAAGAGGTGTTCATAAATTGGGATTTGTATATAAATGTGATCTGCTTAAGTTCAACTGTCACTTTCTTCCTTTGGTTTTTGGAAAAATCTTCCGTTCTTCCCTCTTGAAAGGTGGCTTGTTGCAGCTGGCTACTTTTCAAAAGCCAGCTTCGTTTTTCTTGGAAACTCGCCCATGTTCTTTGAACAATAGGCACATACCTCAAGTAGGGAACCTAATACTGCTCCCAGCAAAGTCAATTAAAGGCTGTTGGTAATTTCTATAGGAGCAAGTGTTTCAGTCACACACAATCCAGAGAACAGAGTGCTTATCATTAAAGGAAGAGCTGTTTTAACACCCTTGTGAGTTCAGAGAAACCACGACCTGATATGTTGACAAAGATGGAGGCAGAATAGGGCCCAAAGTATTTGAAGGCTGCCAAGAAAATACCCAGAGTGTCTTCTGTTAAACCCCAAACTGTCAATCATATTTCACAGACTGTAGATGTTCCTAATTTGCTAAATTACAAATACATTTTCAAGTTCTACCAGGCAGAAATTTTAGCAATAACTGGGGAGAGGATGGAAGGTTTCAGCCTCCCTTTCACTTTTATCCCAATTATGCAGCCTTGTCAAACTCTAAGTGACTCATCTGAAAGCCAGATTTTTAATATTGTACAAGGAAATTGTGGCAATGGAAACATGATGATTTCATACGCAAGCATTGACACACAAGAGAACGCCATGACCTAATGCTTCAAAGTTTTTAACCTTGCTTTGTACAATACACTTTTCATGTTGCTGCATTTCATCAAATTCATGGAGGTAGTTATATGTGTAAAAAAAATTACCATAAAAGTAACATGTTGTATTATAATAATACATATTAAGTGTGCAAAATGCCGACAGATTTGTGTTGACCCTTTACAGTTGAACACAACACAGATTCAACCTAATCTAACTCTGTAAACCTTTAAATTGATACATTAGAAGAAGAATGATAGATAAGCAACCATGTAATACAAGGCTATGATTTCATCAAAGGATCAGGGTGACATAAAGCACTCAAGCTCCACTCTTGCGGTTTTGTTACCAGAACCTCAAGATGGAATTTCCTTATATTCCATTGTTGATTTTAAAAGGAAAAAAAAAATAATTCAAGATTAGAACGTTTCTATTTGAAACTTCTGTTTACATTCCATATTCCAAGAGTCACATTAGTATTGGTACAATGCCATGTCAACATTAATATGACATTTAGGTTGTCTGCTGGTCTCTGGGAACTTTAGGAAATAACATACTATACAGTTTATAGGTATGTACTATCATATTTTGTTGGAATTATGTCTTCGGTACAACCAGCTGCCTGCGTAAATTCTGATTAGTTTATGACAAACAAATATTTCCCCCAAAGGTGAAATTTGTTTTTGCTGTTCACATTTTAATACTGCCGTTAGTACTTCAGATCATCACTGTAAATTTTTTTATCGTTTCGACATTTTTATTTACTGAATTGATACATACTACTGATGTCAGAGCTCATCTCAGAAACAAAATCACAGTCAGCCACTGCATAGTATATGACAATTCCCCACAAAAACTCTGACTCTACAGTTCGCATGGAATAAGTACGGCTGGAGTTACATACTGAATAATAAGATGCGTCATGCAAAGCATTATATGGTAATTAGAGCACATCTTGGAAGGTATGATAAGGCAGAAGGCTAAAGGCCAAGTGACTTCAATAACCAACCAAAAGCACAATAATTTCCTTTATGTGCACTGAAAGGTCTTATTGCTCCTATGAAATGGAAATTATACACTGAAACCAAGGAAAACAGACCTGTGCATTGACTGGGTGTTCTTGACAGAACTTGAAACTTATCGTGTCCAGAGTTAGAAAGCCATTTTATAAGTAAATGAACTATATCCAACTGCATAACATAAGGCTGAATCTTCAGTAAAGACTTCTGATGACAATAGAGAATATGAGTGAAGCTCAAATGACTTTGTGTACAGAGTAATACATGTCACCAGAACCTGATGAAAATACTGGTTTTTAATATGTACAGTTGGGTTTCATACCTGTGTACTACAAGAGCTAGACAATGTAAATGTCCCTTTTCTATGCAACAATTTGGGCTGTTGAACATTTTAGTGTCTTTGTTATTCTTCCACCAATTCATCTGTTCTGATTAAAAAAAAAAAAAAAAGAGTTAAATTTGAAGTCAGTTTGTTGCACTACCAGGTTGCATGAGTAACAGAGCAGAATGTGACCCTATACCTAAAAATTACTCTTGGAGTTTAACTACCCTTAGAAATTACTCTGCAGTAATCAGCATGGTACTAATTACTTTGGAGTAACAGTTTAGGGGAGAGCAATTAGGATATACCATACCTACAGAATTCAGATTTCTACTGCCAACCATGTGGACACATTTAATTTCTAGAAACTAGACATGTCCATAAAATGCTAAATTGCAAATAACATCCACTGAATAAAAAGGCCAGAAGTTTATAATTCTCTAAATTTTGTTCTCTGATAATCACTACAATGTATGCTATTTTTAATAGCCTAATTTAGGCACTCTATTTAATAAGCTACATAAAATAGATTTATGTCCTTCCACTAGAAAGAAATCAATTCTTCAGGCCATACTTGTCATTTATATCATAAAGAATATTTTTGTTCCAAGAAATTAGTTATCCTGATTCTTATATTAATGGCAAGTTGCAATACCAGAAGTGACCCAAGAATTAGATTATCTTTTTTAAATACTTGATTTATACTGAAGACATTTGTTCTCTTTTGTGTCACTCCACGTTGTGGCTCCATGACAGTTATAACTTTCCCTTCCCTCCCCACTCCCCCCTCTACACAAAGGCCCACCTCCTCATTTGTGACTACGGAAGGTCAAGTAGCAAGTCTCAGTAAGTAAACATCTCTTATACTTTTGAAACACAAAAGAAGCCGCCGCCTCCCTTCCCACCCTCCATACTTAGAAAAAATCAAACCAAACCAAAACCCAAACCTTTTTTTACTCGCTTAAACGGGTATTTGCAAAATTGTGTCACAAAAGCGCACAGTGAAAATGACTGATTAGTATTAATAATTCACAGATAGAGCTGAGGTCATCACTTGTCATGTTTGGCATTGTTTTTCCTCATGGTGATCCTGGCTGGTTACTTTCAGCAGTGGCTCAGTTTTTGAAGTAAAAAATGATCAACTCTGCAGCAGAGTTTAGCCTCTGACCAGGGGCATCACACATCTGTGGCATTTTTTTAAAATGAAGTTGGCAACTGCATGGACATTGAAAATGCAGATTACACTTACAGTGTCTAGACTTTCATATATGTGCTCAGTTACAATTAAGTGAAGCAAAAAGTGTACATATTATCCCTACTGCTATTCTGTTGCTACAGAGCCGCAAATGTGAAAAGCAATACCTTGAAATAAAGATTTCTTTGTTGCCCCTAGTCTACGTAGCAGCACAGTTTAAGTAAACACTAAAACTGTGGTTGAGATGCTTTTTTAATTTTTCCCCGAAGATGTAAACATCAGTCCCAGTGTCGTAAACTTTGCTGTATAGGATGAGACAGAAGATCTGAGGCAGGATGACCATCAGACACTAGTGACAGAAGCTTGCAGGCAGTTAGCAGGTTTCTGCAGTTTCTCAGCTTCACTTGTTGGTGGGTCTGCAGTGGCTCGGAAGTTGAATGTTGGGCCTGCGCCACCATGTGCAGGGCTCAGAGCGGGGTTCTGACGTCTGTTGCTTTCAACAATACTTGAAGTGTTGGATGCCAGGCTCTCACGAGTACTAGAACGGAAAAGAAATATATATACACACTCATATATGACATGCCTATATATTTATCGACCAGACAGGAAAGGAGAATAGAGTGTTTTATAATAGGCTTCCTGTGTTTGTATGTAATGTCACATCAATGAACCTCTCATTTTGATAGTACACATATGTTCCTCCAAAACGGGTTCCAGAGGTACTCAGCAGTCATCATACTGTAACACAGGTATAGCACTAAGCAGAGCTGAAGCCGTCACACAAACTGTAAGCTGAACCAGTATCAAGCATCTGGATTTTTCACCCAAGGAAATAGCTTCCATCTTGCACATGGAACATATTAATTTTCTTTCCTGAATGGTGCATTTTTGCACAAAGTAACTTCATCAAATCAGTTATGTGACTAGGCAGAGCTAGGAGAGCAATTGTGTAGCACAGCTTCCTCTGTTGTCTCCTCTTCTATCTATGTCTTTGTACAAAAAATATTAACTAAAAACGCTATTTTATGTTAAACCCACAATGCTTCTAAACAGAACACTTCAATTTTGCTGTGCAGCTGAGACAACTGCAACTTACAAGACGCTGAGAAATCTTAACTGCCTGGTCTGTGTCATGCCCTAAACAACAACTAGTGCTGCTATTTCATTCATAAAATGGACAACGTTCCTTTAGTTCTAATATATCATGTATCCACGGGAGTGACAGGACACTTGGCACTTTTAAAGACTAAGCTTTTTAATGATGCATCTTATTATGAATGCAGAGGAGCCTGTATTTTAGTCTACAGCTTTTAAGAAACTCAGCCAAGATATGCTAAGGCTAGTTCTACCACTACTACTACTCTTGTTCTCTTTCTGCTTTTAATAATTTTTCATCTCCAAATAATGTGTTCCTGTGCAGAGAGAGATTTGGTTTTCAAATAGCCACGTGGCCCCTGGTTATGTGTCCTTCACCTATATCCCTACTTCTTTACAAAAATGACACCACCACTTGCTATGGAGATGTTTACAGAGTACATTTAGAGGACTGAATGGGTTTGTTAAGTAAGCACTAGAAACAAAGATACTAATGACAGAGTTTCATAGTCAGTTTAAAGTCAACCTAAATTTACCTGCTACTGAAAGGGGCAGCTCTTGCCTGCCTTGTGTGGACCTGACCCTGCCACATGTTCCTGCTGCTTCCCTGATGCTGAGCCTTGCAGCCAGCCAGATCAGGGACTGCTCGCAGTTAAATACTAGCCCTAAGGAAAAAAAAAAAAAAAAATTAGTGCTAGCATCAGGGGAAGAGTAGGAATGCACAGCTGTGGATGTGGCAGGGGAGAAATGTGTCAGTGCATGGCACAGAGGAAGAAAGAAACACCTTGTTTAGTTGTAGGGCAGATTTAAATCATCTTAAACTGACTGAATCTGGAATATAAGTGAAGTTTTATGAAAACTCCCATAGATCTTTTAAATTGATCAAAATGGTACTGATCATCTTCTGCCAATTATTGCCTTATTGTCAGTAGTTCCAAACAGCTATGATGGGTGACACACATAGTAAGAGATCTCTGTGAGCTGGCATGACGTATGGTGCACTTCTGTTGCTCATGTTTTGATTCCTCTCCCTCTGCTTTTTAATGAAAATAGATGCAACCTTTGTTTTTCAGAGATCATTCAGTATTATATCATTCTTTATGGGACCACCAATTCCAGATCTTCAAACATTTTCAATTCTGATATTACAAACTGACCATTACAGCATGTATACACAAAGACTGCAGTGAGAATTCTGCATGCAGAGTAATGCCCAAATTAGCTTTTTCTTTAGGTGACAAAAGAGCAGCAGTATTATATAAGCTCTAAAAATAAGGAATAAAACTAATATTGACAGCTAACATTTACTATATACAACTTGCATAAAAGCAATGAACAAAATACTGTGAGGCTGTTTTTCCAATGACGATGTGTTCACAAATTTCTCACACAAAATACTTTTCAAGTCAAATGACCATTGCAAATCTCTTTAACTACATCCTGGTTTTTTTTAAATGCCCCTTTTTTTAATTTGTCACACTTTAAAAATATACTTTTTCTTTCACAGTGTGGAATTGGTAATTTTGATTCCCCAGGCAACATTGCACACTTCAGTTTAAATGAAAAGATACTACCACACCTCAGGAATTCGCGAGTTACAACATCAGTGGAGACTAGAAGAGTATACCTGAGGAGTATCACTACATGCACATCCTGTTCTTGTACTCTTCCCTAGGCATCTGCTAATGGACACTGTCAGATCTAGGTGAATCTTATCAGATGGATGCTGGATGGCTTTTTTGTATTTCCTGGAAAAGGGCTGTGAAGTACATTTTTTGCTATGAGGTAGGAAAGTAGTGACAGCATGGTAATTATAGCCAAAGGGCTGAATTCACCCACAGCTCAATTTATTTTTATACTTATACCAAGGAGTGACCAAAATTCAGCAAAATCATCCAATTTAATCACCTTAATGCAAAGCTCATGAAAAACCCTTTGAAATATCCAAACTATACACTGGTCCTACAAAACAAATACACAAGAAAACCCTACAGAATGTTGCCTTTTTTTTTTTTTTTAAAAAGCAGCTTATTTTATGTGGACTTGCCAAAAAAAGACATTGTTAATAAGTAAACAGTAAAATAAAATAAAAAAAAGGGTTGTGTGGAACACAACCATTATTAAAAGCTGCTTATCTGTTTCCCTTTTGATCTAAAGAAAGTGGTATAGCAGCACTAAATCCAGTATGCTCGCCACGTTCTGTTCTCTTGCTAGCTAAGTTTAAGATTAGCATCAACAGAAATTTTAGCTTTTGTGTAAATAATTAGGGAAGGAAATGTCTCCCTTTGCATTAACCAGAAACACAAGCATGATATTCAGCTAGCATACAGCTAGCAAAATAGTAGTCTAAGAACTGACTTTTATCCAGTTGATATCCAATCCTGGAGGTGAAATGCACTCTGCGGAGTGAGACAGGCTGAGTAAGAAGCAAACACCACCATATACGCCCCCCCAAAACTGACTGCAAGTATAGCAACTCAACTAAAAGAAGAGATTACATTTAAAAAAGAACAATGCAAATACCCTCATAGAACAGTTGTATGTAAGAAAGATGCCAAGCATCTGCAGAATAATCAATAACAAGAACAATTTCAAAACCTTAAGTTTCTTTTTTAAGCTGGACTCAGTGTAAGTGGTACAATTTACTCCAATTATTTTTCAAATTTTTTACTCAGAAAAATTATACATATGTTAAAAGCCTGCTCTAGTTTGATAACCACTGCATGTTGTAGCAGGCCCAATAATTGCTGCCTTGACATTAACATCAAGTGGGAATAGCCATCAAATCCAAAGGAATTTATTTCAGAGTGACATGACTTAAACTGAAAATGAAATTTAGTCCTGTGTAGAAGCAGGAAATCTTCCACATGCATTTCTGAGAGCCTTTGCTTTAAAAAAATATGTAATTCTGAGGAATAAGAACACCTTTTACAGTGAAAAAAACCTCACCAAAAAAACCCACCAAACCCCAAAAAACAACCCCAAAACATTTTCTTTCACCTAATACAAATCCAGTCTCAGAGGTTTTATTTTTAACCACAGGCAATAAATAATTTAGGCTTAAGTAAGACACTATAGAAGAACTACTACTGTAAATTATTTCTGTGTTCTTGGAGTCACTGTTCTGAACTCTGATGGGTTGCTATCCAGGGCAAACAAAACCAGTCAGGCTCCATTCCAGCACAGACCTAGGACTTTCAAAGGTCAGAGAGAGGAGGAAGAAGGCTCAAGTGAAGGATTCTTAGCCTGGAAATGAGCTTGTGAAATCTCCGGCACAGGGAACACACCAGCAACTCTCTCTTCCCTATGCCTGTAAGACTCCTAGCACACTGAGACTTCCATGATGTCTGAGATCCCTGGAATGGAAATGACTAACCAGCACTACCACACGCAAATGTCTGGACTCTCTTCCCAAGTATCTTAGGCAAGGCACCTCTCTCTCTGCTGATGCAGCGCTGGGTCACCTTTGATGTTCAAATATCCTGAGCACTTTCAGCCTTGTGGGGGGAGCAGCTGTTCCAGTCTCACCAGTCTGGAATGGTGATAGATACACTTCCAAAATTTTTGAAGGAAACAAACAAAAAAGCCCAAACCCAAAACAATCATTATGTTTTGGGTTTTTTTTGTCTGAGCCAAAGATTATGCCACCTAGTCACGTCTAGTCTTCCAATTAGTCTTGTTGATGGTATCTTAGAGGGAAAGGTAAGGAGGGGGGGGAGTATGCAGCAGCTCATCCCTCCTATTCTAAATGCAAACACAAGTTTAATACAGGAAAAAAAAAGATACAGGGAGGTTTTCAGCAAAGAGCAAACAAACTAATACAGAGTCAATGCCTCAAATGGTCATTGGTTGCTTATGGTATGGTAGGAAACCCACACTTATGAATAGCAGATTCCAGAGCTGTAGAAAACACTGTCTGAAAACGTGTGAAATTGTTTAATATGACCCTACATTATGTCACCAATACCACATACACACATAACTATAAATGGAACTTTCTAGTCTGTAAAGCTGCAATGAATGTGACAGTCCTACCGTGGAGAGTTGAACCCGCTGTCCACAGTAATGCTGCTGCTGTCCATGCTGTCCAGGCGGGCTGAGTGGGTGGCTCTCTGGTTGTTGCTATTTTCTGTTTCCTTTGGGGTGAGAAGAGTAAGATTTTTCTCAAACTTTCGCTGCAGATCCCTCTCCTTTTCTCTCTCTAGGAGCCACTGCATTGTACCAACATCATCCCTGTTCTTTTCTTCCTCAGCATTTTTGTTGGTTCCTTCCTCTGAGTCATCGTCATCAGATACGTTGTAGTAGTCAAAGGAGGCCTCCTGGTTCCCAGTTGTCTCTTGCTGTCTCTGTGAAACAGGCATGACTTGTGTGACTGAGGTTACTATCGCTTGTTCAAGTTTCTCACATCTGACTGGCAATGTGTCAGAGGGGGTCTTTTGATGGGGCTTTAGCAGGGGTGCGCTAGACTTATGATAACTATTCACAGAAAGAGTGTTGTGCAGAGGTTTAAAGAGCGTATCCTTGCTAAATATTTCTTTCCTTTTATCAAGGCTGCTTGATTCAGCGCTATGGTGTTGAACCAGCCGCCCATTTGCAATAACCTCTGGAGTTTGGCCAGCAACTGCTGAACCACTGCTTGGGCCCTTTGGGGACTCCTCTTTGTGCACCCCAGGCTCCCTAGCAATATGTTGAGACTGTCTTTCTGCAGGAGTCATTTTTTTGAGCCCATCTGTCCCTGTCAGGGTATCATGATCCTCTTTATTCTTTCCCAGTGGTGATGGAGCAGTAAGCACAGTCTCACTGGATGTGTTGCACTGAAAATAGTCATCGACTGCAGATTTTGTTGTGCAGGAGTTGAGCTCGCTATATGATGGCAAATTCTCTGTAGGCTTGCTTTGTTCCAACAGGCTACAAGAACTGGGGGTTTCTACACTGCCACTAGCCATTTCAGGGATGCAAGTCTCTTTGTAGCTTGCAGATGAAATCAGAGCCCTTTGATGACTGAGCGACTGAGATGGCCTTAAGGTACTATCGTCAATGTAAGTTTGGCTAGTTGTTTGGTCATCTGGGCTACAGCCTTCACCTGTATCTTCAGGTGTGCCTAAGGCAGCTGAGCCCAGAGGTCCCTTGGAGTTATCCATAGATCTAGACCTTTCTTTAGCCTTACTGGACCGCTCATTCCTCGATCTTCTATCCTGTGTATGGCTGTGGCTCCGATGGACCTTGGAGTGGGAGCTTCCCCTGGAAGGCTCAGGGAAAGGCATTTCAGTTCTTCTTTTGGCCAGCTCACCAGACACGTCCCACTCTGGTGTCATGGGAAAGTGAGATTCAATCATGTTAGGATTGCTGTGCATTATAAAATTATCTCCCTTGTGCTCTATTATAAAACAGCCTTCCCGTGGGGATCGAGTCAAGGGATCATAGAACTCATACTCCCTTTCAGCAGGTATATCCAAATGAGAGCCATCTGATGGGTCTCCTTTGGATACCCGAGTCTTGCTGTGTGACCTTGATTTCCCATGAGACTTTCTGTGATTCCTGCTCTTTTTACTTCGTCCGCTGTGGTGAGCTGAAGATCCTGCTTTGCTGCGCTGAGCTTTTTCTTCTTCAAGTTTCTTCATTAGTGCAGTGTGCCTCATGACATTTTCCACAGTCAAGTCTGGGTTAATGCGCCTAATAATCTCCATTTCTACCTCCCTAGGTATAGTGGTAGGGGTGTCCTCGTCCCTTAGCGGCCACTCCTCTGGAGGAAACTGGGCAGAGAAATTTGCCAACTGTTTTGTCTTGTCCTTCTTAAAACTTAACCGGAACAGTTTGAGTCCAAATTTCTTAGACTGCTTTTCTACATCCTTAGGCTTTGTGAGTGTCTCTGCTTTGTAAGAAAAATTGACAGTACTTTTACTTTTCTCAGTAGGTGGGACCTGACATAATGAAGGAGGACAGTATGAGTCTTTACAGTCTTTTGCTGATTTCCTCTGTAGGGTAGATGCATGCATGCTGTGCATGTCTTCTCTGCAACAATGGCAGGAGTCGCAGTGGTTTTTGGGTAGTGTTCGGTCCCTGACGCATCCCGAGGTGGAGGGAGTTATAGTTCCTTGTTGTGGAGAGGTACATTGAGACCTGTCAGGTATCCTCTCATCCAAATGGTACCATTTACTGTTAGTTCTTATGAGAGATGGTGTTATAAAGTAAGTCTGTGGGGTTACAATGAAATAACCATCCGGAGTTGGGTATATTTTCCTCTCCCGTACAAGCATATTCAAGGTATGTCGAAGGATTTCTGGACTGGGTGTTGGAACTCCTAGAAATGACAGTAAACACATATCAGGGAGTGCATAAAACCATGCAGGACTCCGGCTCCCCCCTCCCCAGCAAAAAGCTATTTTTTCCAATGTGCAAGCTGGAATATGCTGAACAAACAAATCCAGTAAAGCACTTTGTTAGGCATTCTCTTGTCTGTTTGTTTTTCCACTTATCTCCTACACTTCAGACATATCAATTATTAATTAAATAGAAAGGAGGCCATTAATGGAGTGTTAAAAAAAAAAAAAAAGAGAGAGAGAGAATTTCTAGTCACTTCCATTGCGCAGGTGACCTTAACCTACAAGATGGAATTACTGGAAATCAAAGGGTGTCAGGGGAAACATTTCACTTTTATCCTTCTTCCAACTAAATATTTATATCCCAATTCACCAGAACTATTTATTATAATGCCCAGTCACGTATAAAACAGTGGCTATTTGTTATTTTGCATGCCTAAGTTGTTTTTCCACAGAAGAATACTACACCAAAGAAAAAGCATTCCCCCAAACTGCCCCTTTATCACAAACTTGACTGAACTGACTTGCTCTCCCATTGAAATGTTTCAACTACATCAGCTGCTCCAAAAAAGACATGCCAACGATACAGTTCATCTTAACCAAACAGACTTTTCCACTTTGCCGGAAGTTACAGGTTTAGCTCCTAAAAATTTTCTTCTCAGAGTTCCCTGCCTTTCATGTGAGATGCAAGGGACGCTACCCAAGGGCATACATCACATACTGAGAGAGGGACAAGTATGACAACCCTGCATCAATGTAACGTTAGCCACATGGTAGACTTGGCATTGTGAGCCTGGTCCTTCCCACTACCAGTACTCCTGCTGGGTTCAGTGGTGCAGAACCAAGTCTTCAACACTTTATTAGATAAAATACCAAGTTAGCATGCTGTGCATAGGAATAAGTTCCATCTAGAGCTCAGGAAACAAGAGATTTAGTTCATGAGCTAGTTTAAAAAAAAAAATCTGTTCAGGCTGAGTAAGAAATAAAAATCCTTCAAAATTTTCAGTGGAAAGCGCTATCTTCAATCAATACATTTTGTTGAACTAAAACTCATTTTAATTTTAGCTTAATGCCTGGTACCAACCTGGTTTACATTTATAGAACTAGAGAAATCTTTTTCAAAAGTTTGGATGGTCTATTTTAGACTAAAAAAAGTTAATATTATTTACTCTGGGTCTTAGTTTTCTTTTCAACAAAACTAATTTAGGAATAAAAAAGTAGAATCAGAGAGTAACTTAGGTTGGAAGGGACCTCATGAAGTCATCTGGTCAACACCCCTACTCATAGCCAGGCCAACTTAGATCAGGTTGGCCAGGGCCTTGTCAAGTCAAACTCTGACTATCTTCAAGAACAGAAATTCCACTGAATTATACATGCAAAAACATTTCAACAAAGTATATGATTTTTACAAAAATACTTCAAGGAAAAATCTCAACCAGGTGTACCTGCCCTAGACAAAGTATTTTCAGTAGCACATAGTGTCTGGTCACCAACTCTTCTCCCACACGTCAAAGGCTGGAGCATGCAAGCTCACTGATCTCCTTGTGTTAGCAAACATGAGGATGACAGCAAGGGCTCTGGCACTATGACCAACACCCCATCAAAAGATTAGCGACAAGAAATAGAGAAGTTGTACTAATTCCTTAACTCACCCTCTTCCTTGCTACTGGGTTGCAGGCAACATAGTAAGTATTCTTATGTCTGGTTTTGAATGTTGTTTGAATTTAGAGACATGACCATACTGCTCACATCCAGTAATATCTGTAACTAAAAATCTTACAATGGAAACAGCAAAGTGTTAGGAATAACATGGACACATGAGTGAAAGCAGTTACAACAGACAAGGTGCCAGGGAGAAGTACATGGGGGCAGTAAATATATTTCATGCACAGTCCACAGAGCTGAAAGATTGGGGCCAATCCAGGCACAGGAAGTAAAAGAGGTACAGAAAGGATATAATTTGAGAGAATAAATGAGACTGAAAATTGGAAAGAATACACAAATGAAATGGAGAATCAGGAACGTGCATTTTCTCCCCTTTTCATGTGGGTGTCCACAATTTATGTGATAATTCTACAGAGAGTAGCAAAGACCCCCAGAATTGCTGGATGAGCAAACATGCCAGAAATAGCAACAGATGGGAAAAGCTGAAATCCAGAGAGCCAGGGGAAAAAAGGACTACCCCTCCCTAGCCCAGAATCCTGAATCTCTCTGGACTGAAGTAAACAAAATGCTGAGCTTCCTCTGGATCGTGAGGCAATGGCAATTGGAGAGCAGGCTGCCCTCTGCATGAGCTTTCAGAAAAGCACAGGAACAAGAAGAGTGATTTCAATTCCCATAACCAGCAGTCATCATCTAACCTCTTCTTTCCTGTGGTGGAGCTGCTATGTAACACCACCCCTTCTACATTATGTCTTGCATCACCACAAGAAGTGGATGACCCCAAACTCAAGCTCATGTGCTTCTCCATCCTGTGCTGAAAATGCACTGCAGGGTCCAATCCCGGTCCAACTGAGATGCACATGCTGTGCAGCAGCCAATCTCCCTTCCTGCCTCTACGTAAACAACCTGACCGATCCACTGCATTTTTCAGGAGCTTACATGTAAATACCTCAACACATACCTACCTTTGTGAGAACTTGGTTCTTCATTCTTATTTTACTTAAAGGCTTTTTTTAACATACTGTTTCAAAAACATCAGAACAAAAATAAAAGAGAGGAAAACATTCTCCTGGGAGTTTACAGAAAAGTTAGGGAATGAGACTGAAATGGATCTTCTGATGTTTTACACTAACTTAGGCAAAAATGCACTGCAAATACATGGTAAAAATAATAATATGTATTTTTCACCCAGTAAACCATAATGAGTACAATGTGTTGGGTAAATGAGTCTCTAAACACTGGATGCACAGTAGTTACATTAATTGACTAAGTCCTGTGAATAAAGACTGTGCAGATAAACACCAAGAAAAAAAAAAAATAGCATGCCTGGGCAGTCAATGATGCTGTAAAGTTAATTGTGTCAGCCTTCTCTCTGGAGTTGGAGACTATCACTTTTATCACTCCCAGCATACAGTACATCCCTGTGGTTCACTAAGCCAGCAGTGATGATGGTAGATGCAGATCTTTGGAGCTCAGCATTGCCAGCTAATGGTAGCTACAGGTTTTGTTCAGATCTCTTTCAGGCACTTACAAAAGCAGAAACAGACCCAAACTCAACTTGGCCTTTCCTGCACAGTGGACAGGAGAAATGACACTACTCTGGCTCCCATTGTTGCTATTTTAAATACAGATTTCCTGGCTTTCTCAAGACTTTTCTCTTTACAGCAACCTGCCCACATCATGTCTATATCTAACCTACCCCACCGCATTCTGAAGTCTCCTTATGGTCTCCCTTTCTCCATTAAATAGGAACAACAGGAAAAAACCCAGTAGTTTAGAGACTCTAGCATATAAAATATTGCATGACAGCAGTGGTGTTATTTAAGATTATGTAGTGGTTTAATAATTCAAAAGCAGAAACTGTCTGGACACTGAATCATCAGACATGTACATTTTCTGCATCTCAGGAGAGTCTACTATGCCATCCACTGAGCTTCCAGACAGAAGATTATGTCCTGTTTGCTGCTCAAAAAGAACACTGACCTAGAGTGAACTCTGTTAATGTAAGACACTTATTTTAAGTGCTACATATACATTTCATATATTTAAAGAGTGAAGAGTTATGAAGGTGTACGTCACAGGAATTTGCCAGCTTTCAGAAAACTGTTCACTTCAAAAGGAACCTAGTCCAATACACACGTATTTTCTACACTGAAATTTTGAACACCTTAAAATGATTTTAATAAGTACATGGACAAAATTGGAAGGGAAAAAAAAGAAAAAAGAAAAAAAAAACCTTACTAAAGGCAGCATAGACTCAGGCTTGATGTTTTCTTTAGCCAGGTTCATACAGATAAGAGGGTCTGGCTGCCAGAGGAACAGAGGTTACATTCTTAGCTCCTTATACTGGATTTCAAAGATTTACATTTAATGTACAGGATTTAAACCATGGTCAATAAATTATAAAGTAGGGCTGTACAAACATCTCATTGTTTAATTCGAAGTTAGAATAATGGGAGCACGTGCAGTAGGAGCCCTCTTGCTTTTTTAAAAACCTAACAAATAAAAAAGCCACAAATAAGATGTGCATTATCATTACAAACTTTTTCAATAAAATAAATTCATGAAAAATACATCTGAAGTAGTATTTAAATGGTGTTAAATCTGCTAAAATGATTTTCTCCTGAGCTGATGCTAAGGCTTAACAAGGGATAAAAGAAATACTCTGATTGGCTCATGAAATACTAGTTAAGGATGTGGAGTGGTTGCTATGTGATGTTATAAATAATTAGCATACCTTATTTCAGATAGAGCCATGGCCCAGATTTATGCCTGCACAATGGCTCAGCAAACTAGAAGGCTAGACTGCTAGTGTAAGATCCTGCACTGAGGAAAGAGGTTTATTATTCTTAGGCAGTTTGAGAATAGCATCTGGGGTCTTAGGAAATTTATACATGCCATGAAACGCAGTGAAGCATCTGCTCATTAAAACACAAACAACACAGGCAGACAAGTGCTGCTACAGGGTGAGATACAGAGAGGTTATGTGACAATAACAGATACATCTACAGTGGTAATGCTCTCCTCTCTCTCAGAGCATCAGCACCTAATCAGGAAAAATAAACTATCATAATATGGGAGGATATCAAGTATTTTGAAGTAGCCACAGTGAATACAAGGGCTCAAAAAGCCATGGCTGATTTATGAGACAGTTTGGGCAGACAAGTGAAAAATATCACTTAGTACAAGAAGAGGTTCTGTTTATTGGAAAAGACAAAATTTTTTTATAATCCTCATACACTGAGAGAACATATATGTTTGCTATGTTAAACATGTCATGGCTGGGAGAGAAAGGCATTTCTCTACAGAGGGGAAAAAATGGACAACAAAAGGTGGATTGTTTTGTTTGTTTGTTTTCCAAATAATTTTCTTTACATTTTGGGAAGTGAGATAGGAAAGACAAGGCTCTTCTTTTTTTAATCTCAGACTTGAGAAATGCCCATGTTCATGGCTACCAGAAAAAAAAGAGGTAGCAAGAGACTCTGTGCTAACTTGCCTCAGGTTTCTTTTGAGCAGAGTCTACAAAATAATCCAGCCTGTTGAATTATTTTTGATGTATGGTTCTGTCTAGCAAGAATAGCACAACACACCAAGTCAACTGATAATCATATTCCCAGAAAACCCAAGGGATGTCACCAATAAATTATCATTTCCACCATGCAATAATGTTTACATAAAAATATTGATAGAAGCATTGGAAAAATACTTGCAATCTATGGAACTTTTCTAGTACATACCTGTATAGAAAACACAACTTGGGGGGGAAAAAAAAAAAATCATCAAAATGAATTAAACTGTAATTACAATTGTGAACTTTGTCTTCTTTGCATTCTATCCCTCACAACTTTTACCACTATTTTCAAAATAAGCCAAGCATACTGAAAAAAACCACTGATAAACAAACCCACAAATTGGGACAGAAAGCCAATATTTACAAAAGGTACTTGCAGTATTTTTTCCAAACTGCAATTATTAAATGTCAGACAGAATTGTTCATTCCAAACACAGATCTCAATCCAGTATTATATTTTAAAATCTCAAAACTTAGTACCATTTACAGCAAAAGCCATATAACCTTCAAGGATTTAAGTAACTCTTGCTCTGAAATGTAAGCAAAAAAAATGAAAGACATCAAAACATGGCTATGGTTAGGCTGCCTAGATGAGACAGATGCCTCAGTAGTTCTCCTACTGAAGCATTTTTAATTAGCTGCCTTCTACAGCTGTAACAGAGGTACAGTAGAGAAGTTTCTCAACTAGTTTAGAGAATTGTAAACTCAGGCACAGAACAGTTAAACATCTTGCCCAGGATCATACAAAGCACAAGTGAAAAAGTTGTGCCCTCTTGAGCAGTAAATCTCTGTCCAACAGTTTTACACCACGCTTTTAGATGTCTCTACAAGATGCATTTTGCATGATTCACCAACTCCAGATACAGACTGCCAGTAGGGAAGCAGCATATTCAAGAGTACATTCCTAATATAGGTTTCTTTTTTTTGATGTTACAGTATCTTTAATCCAAGACATTTTAATTTTACTATTTAATAAATATTATCAAATGCTGACAAGAATATCTTCTGAACAGTACACCAGCATTTATGAACACAGCAAGTATATCTATGGCTCTCCAAACCTTTTAGTTATGGAGAGAGCTGTCAAGTACCAAAAAAAAAAAAAAAAAAAAAAAATTTAAAGATTTTTCAAGCAAGGGCAGTACAGAAGCAAAAGCCAGAACTGTGTCCAAGAAGGCTCTGAAAACTGAAAACCCCTGGAAACCAGGCTGACAACGTCTTTTCAGTTTAAATATAACCTCTCCATGGAGCAGGCACATCATTGTCATTAGACTCTATTACTTGCATCATGCCACACCAGTTTTGAGAGCCTGTCCTAGGTGAAGAAAGACTTGCAGTATGTGGGAAACATGTTCTTTAAGAGAGAATGCTCTACACAGAGACCTCCATGAGGTTATCTTTATGGAGACTGGACAATGCCACTTGAACTGACTGAATGATGTCAACTGAGCTCTTGCGAGTTAGCTTACAACCGGTTGAAAGCCACAAGGTGGAATAAGTGTGCTCTGGCTATGACACATGCTTTGTTCTCTGTAACTACTAAAGTCCTAAGCTCTTTTGACTATGATGATAAAGAAGGTTATTTTGTGAGAAAAATCATGAACAAGCTTATTCTGATACCAGTCTGAACAGAAGAAAACAAGCCAACAGTTTGCTATTTAGTACCTCAAGTAATTTTAAATATTTACATAAAGTCAGGAATTAACCCTGCAAAATGCATCTCACATGAATGGCCCTGTCAAAGACAACTCAATTCTATATATGTTTAAGAATAAAGAAAAGGTTATAAGATTAGGACCCTAAAACCTCCTTTTACTTTTGGTAGTATCTCAGGATTAATCAATATTCCCATCCAGAAGAGTGAATTAAAACAGACTACCAAACACTGAAACTCCGTCTTTTAAGGAAGCCAAAAAGATAAGCAACCTTTTGGGTAGGAAGTGGAGATTCTTTAACTGCCCTTTTACAGACATGAGCCCATCTGACTGATGATTTATTAATGTCCAGTTACCTGGGAAGCAGGTTGTTAGGTGCTCCATTAGTGCTTCTTGTGTGACTTGTTTTCGGGCAGAGTTCATTGCTGAGATTGCCAGGCAAAGGATTTCCCCAAGTGGAATAAACTGTGACTGACTGATGGGAGACATGCTGATGGGTGATACATCACCTGTAAAAAGACAACAGATGTGCAATGAAGTGTTTTGTTTAAAAATCTGCTCATAGAACAAGGATGTAGAGATACAACTGGAGAAGATGCACACAGCTCTGTAGTCTTTGTACTGAGCTGGGGATAAAAATCTTACAATGGAAAACCCTCCAACACCTTATTTCAAAACTTAGACATGGTGAACTTTGGAAAATGGGATATACACACTATGCGGACATTAAGTTTTTCAAAGGGTGCAATAAGCAGATTCAGAAAAATGCCAACAAATTAGCACTTATGATTGCAAAACCTCATGCTTGAATATCCTACTAGGTAGGACACAAACAAAATAGTTGCATGTATTTCTCTGAACATAAAAAGGGAGATTTCACTCCCCTTTCAAAGGTTAGTGATATGGATCACCCACCACCTCCACTTGATAGAATGCTTTTTCTTCATAGTAACAAAGATCAGAAAACAATGTTGCTAAGTTAATGAATAACATTTTCACTCAGCTGATAAAGCGCAGAACACTCTTTAGAGGCACAAAAGCATGAAACACCTTGCGATTGATACCCTGAATAAATCTCTCCTGGATCTACAGGTCAAATGTCTTTGTACGGACTACGTATTTTTTAGAAGAGAGGTTTTAATGGTTCCAGGATGGCATGAAAATTAACTTTGTTGTAACTTTTCTCACGTTGCCTTTAAAAATAATTCATTAACCCATACTTAAAAAATCATGGAAAGATCCTCATAATTAAAGTTATAAGAGAAATTACAATTTGATAATACTAGCATGACTACACAAATACACAGATACATGTGCATTTTAACATACTTTATATAAATACAGAAATGCTTTTAGATTCTGCTCTGTACCTCCTCTTGAAGTGCTAACAGTTCCCCAATGACCTCAAATAGAGAGAAGCAGCAGGCTAAAGGATTTCCTTTGCCAGTGGAAAAGGAACAATAAAGAGTAACAGCCAGAACAAGGGGTGCTTGACTACAAATCCTTTTTTGGCCACAGGTCAGTCAATAGCTAGGGATTAAAGTTTACCTAAATGGCTTTGAAATCTCAAGAAAATCACCCTATTTCTGCTATCACGGAGCCGTATCTTGTGATCAGATCAGGAATCAAATTACTGGAAATTAATTCACATTCACTTCCCTCCACAATTTAGAGGATTTAATATTTGCCCTATTAATTCTATATTCCTATTACGTCTACTAAGCCGGAACAGCCGTCTCTAAAACTGATTATCAAAATGCATTTAATCTTGCATTATACTCAGCACTTTGGGGGGAAAAAAAAGAATTGGTGGGAGCAGCAAATTGCATAACTGCTTCAGTGAGACTTATAAGCAATATTTTTCAATAGACCAGCTGTACAATCTGTTGTACAAGAGTGATACACATTACCCAAGACACAACAATGATTTAACATACACATTTGTGCTACACTGTCTCCTGATTGCTTCTGCTTAATCAGGCCTGACCAGATCAATGCTGCAATCCCAACACAGCAGCATTCCTCCAGCTTCAACACAGTGCACCCCAAGATCCCCCTCATTCTTATCTGACCACAGAACAATGACCTTAAAATATAACCTCTCGTGGACATTTTTTATTTGTATACACCTGAGAAGTTCCTGCCATGTGCTTTACAGACAATGGCAATCAAGAAGATCATATGCCGCTTACAGGCAAACGTGAGAGATATGCTTTCATATGACTTGGGAGCAAGCACCATTTGTCCCGTCAACATTTGAGAATGGATAAAGAACATCACAGTTATTATATTACTATTTACTAATAATTACACTTACTGTCAGCTTAAACTTGCTCATAGACTTCGTAATCAGTCAGACACTTAAGTTTACCAACTTTGATCAACAGTCACCATGCACTTTGTGCAGAGGATCAGTTTCTTTAATGATTAGTTTCAGGTCTAAAAAGCATCAGAATTATGGTAAGAATTATGCAGATTTAGCTAAGCAATTTAAGAAATTACTGTCTTTCACACAGAGATTATCTGTGTCCTGGGTATTCTTGTGAGCACTACTAAGTTCAGTTCAGTGCAATGTCAAAGAGATTGGCATATACTGTCCTCAGTTGAGGTTTAACCTTATCGGGTTCACTGGGCACTGAAATGGGCTCTCTGAGTAGCTTTAAGGGCATCCAGGTGAAGGGCAGGAACTTCCTGAATTGTTTTATCTGTATCATCAAAGACCTGGCAATTTCTTAAACCAAAGCACCATGGCAAGAGTATCCCTGTGCCTACTCCCAGCCACGCACTCATGCTGCCACCTACGCAGGCACCAGGATGGGAGAGCAGGAGGAAGACCTCTTCCTTTGCCTTGCACCTGGAACGATCCACTCACAGCTAACTAGAATGACATTTAGGATGTAATGAATGGGCCTTAACACCATAATCAGCTTCCTGAAGTGGCAAAGGGACTCAAGTAGCATTATACATGAAGCCTAGCAAGTGCTGCTAATTTACATAGGTTTGCTCTGCAGCCTACCAGCTGCCCCCAGAGAGATGCTTGGACAAGAACTCAAAACAGTTACTCTGCTCACCCCTGGGGGAGCAGCCCATCCGTCTTCCCTGACTGCCAAGAGCCTGCAGAGATCCATGTCTGGGCTCACTTCCAGTAAGGACTTGTTACCTTAAAACTGCTAAGTACAACTTAAGAAATAATAAAGTTTACCTGAATTTTAGTGACCTTGCACTTTGCACAATCTTCCCTTTCAAAGCAGGCCTCCAGCATGGAATTGATTTTCTAGGTTAGTGTGCAGAAAACATTCAGTCTGCACATTTGAACCCTGCCAGTTGGGCTCTTGTCAACAGGAACAAGCCAAGAGCTTCCACCGAAATGCTAACTATACTTCACATAACTCATCAATATAAAACATTCAGTATCAGTTCCTTAATGTTAACACAGTCTCTAGCAAAGCATGGTATAGTTAGTATGCCAGAGTAACATACATCCTGCTTGCAAATATTTGGGAGCTTAACAACCATTTAATATACAGACAACTATAAACGTCCATAAAATAATAACTTGAATGGCTTTAAATGCAATAGAAATGGCCAGCAAATACTGGTTTATGTGAGAGCCTTTCTTTCTGTTTTGTAAGGGACTATTGCTAGTTAAGCCTTATTCTTTTCCACTGAGCGCTTTTCAACCTTCTTCATTATGACAAGAGAACTCTCGTTTCACCTCTGTTGTGCTACCAGACACAGAATTACCTCCATAGCTTGCTGTCCATAACTGTCTGCTGGAGATAATTACTGCCTCTTGGTTTAAAAAGGCTAGCACACATCTGTAAAACTTTCAGCAGACCTAGCGGTAGAAAACCCAAACCCCCTCACTCAGGGAGGCTCTAATTTGCCAAGTTTTATCTTAATTATCCTGTGGCTCTGGGAAATTACAAGCACTCTGTGGTTATAGTTAAGTGAACAAACTTCTTTGATGCACAACAACAGAAAATATCTTGCGTCTACGATTTAATATATTAACATCAATTGCGCGCATAAATACTGCTTAGCCTGTTGAACAGAATGTTTACTACAACTTATTTAAGAAAGATCTGCTTAAAAAAAGTCAAATATGCTTTTCCCAATTTTTTTTTGAAGACCACATCACTTACATAAAACATCTAGCATATGGCTCCTGTTAGCTCTGACTGATGCTTGTCTCAAGCAGCTTTCTTTTGAAATCAAATTACTATCCTTGACTTTCATATGTTTATGTTCCCAATTAAATGAAAACCGGAGCTAAGAAAGCAGTTTTCACCAGCTGACTGCATGTTTTGTTTAAATACTATATATATAGTTTTAGCTCTATTTCTGCAGTGTCTTTCCAAATTTTTCTCTACAGAATTGAAAAAAAAAAGTTTTCTAGACTTCTTAAGTAGCACTTAATTTTCAAAAATGTCTAAGCATATAACAAACAATGAATGGGATTTGTCCTCATTTATGCCTTGAGGATTTGTAGCACTGCCCTATGGGAAAAAAATAATTACTGTTACTTAGAACAAAATATTATGTAGCACATAAAATAAACACTTAGCTCTTACAGAGCACATTTCTTCAGTGGATTTCAAAACATACCAAAAAACTGGGTAACCGTAACTATCCTTAACATACAGATGAGAAAGTGATGGTCTGTGACAGAGCTGGCAATGAAAATTCACACGTCCTGAACCCAGCCCAGCCAGAACCTTTCCTGTGCCAGCTTAACTAGTGTCTCTGTTCTCTGGAAGTCTGGGTACCACCATCTTGGGAGAAAATGAGGTAGACTATATTCTGCACCACGTATCACCAATTAAACTACCCACTACATACTGATGACAGAATTTTTATTAGTGATTCTGCTGCTGGAAAGAAGTGACCTGGAAGTCAAACTCCCTGTCTCATGAAGTTTGCATGAAGACTGTTTGAAAAATCACCTCTTGACTTATAAATGGAACCACTTCAATACAGCCACTGTGAAAGAAAATTAAGGAAATTACAGTGCAAAGCCACACTATATTACAATTTATACACACCATTTCGCTGAAATGGGGAAGAGACCCTCTGATTACACTCTGCATCCTGTAAAACACAGGAAGCCAAAGCCCAGTTTCTCTTCTCCATCCAGCCTCTCAACACCTTTTTAACCTTTTGTTTCCTATGGATCAAGACAAACTTTAAACATGATTTTTAGCCTGGTTTCCACAGGAAATGAGGCTTGCACAATCACAGTCTGTGCGTGTGCATATGCCAGAGAGGTCAAGCCCCACTAGACAACAGAAATTCTAAAAGAGTGTTTGCTATGCATGCTGCAGCTGCACAGAACTTCAGGCATAGCCACCTCCCACTAGACAGGAGACAATCCAGTCAAAAAACACTTGTCAAGGGAAATCTGACTTCACTACTTTTGCTCCTTACAGAACTACATTATTTATCAGAAAACATCAAACTAGAGCACAGTAACCTCATGATTATAGTGGTGGTTGCAACAGAAATCCCC